ACTACTTTGTACTACAAAGCTTGCACAAACTACTTCCCAGTACTACTTTGTACTACAAAGCTTGCACAAAATGTTTGAAAACTACTTTCCCAGTACGACTTTGTTACTTTACAAAGCTTGCACAAAACACTTCCCAGTACTACTTTGTACTACAAAGCTTGCGCAAAACACTTCCCAGTACTACTTTGTACTACAGAGCTTGCACAAAGCACTTCCCAGTACTACTGTGTATTACAAAGCCTGAACAAAGCACTTCCCAGTACTACTGTGTACTACAAAGCTTGCGCAAACTACTTCCCAGCACTACTGTGACCATGCAACCTTAACGCAGCCATCACAATAGAACTATCCGCAACGGCGTCGGAAATTGCGGCTCCAAAACCGGATCTCGACGCCAAAGCGAAAGAGAGACGATTTTGAAGCACTTTTTAAAAGGAATTTTAAAAGGAAAATCACTAGCGCCAAAATTGCGAAAATCTGCTGACAAATCACTATCGCAGCCTGGATGCAGCCACTCCAATACGATTTACGATCTTCAGCTGCAAAAGACAATAATATTACGCATGCAGCCGCTGCACCAAGCAACCTTGACGCAGCCACTACAATGCGATCTGCAGAGAGTGAGTTGCAAAACACAAAAGAACTACGCGCAACGGAGTCGCAAATTGCAGCTCCAAAACCGGATCTCGATGCCAAAGCAGAAAAAAGACGATTTTGAAGCATTTTGTAAAATGATGTTTAAAAGGAAAATTACTAGCGCCAAAATTGCGAAAATCTGCTGACAAATCACTGTGGCAGCCTGGATGCAGCCACTCCAATACGATTTACGATCTTCAGCTGCAAAAGACAATAGTATTACGCATGCAGCCGCGGCACCGAGCAACCTTGACGCAGCCATTACAATGCGTTTCGCAGCATCCCGTAGCAAACCTGCACCTATCTACGCACGTGGCAACATCAAATCACGACAATGAAGCAGCCATTCCAATGCAATCTGCAACCAGATTCAAGAACCGCATAGAACTACGCACACAGACACAACCATTCGTTGCAAAACACATAGGAGGAACAATTCGCGCACAAAACGACCGCAGCCGCACCCGTCGCACAGACGAGGTACCTTTCATCGTCGGCTGCTGCCACTTTACACGAAAAACGCAAGGTTTGGTGCTCCGGCTTCCTCCCCAAAACATAGCCCATGCAACATTCATGCAGCCATTACAATGCGTTTCGCAACATCCCGTGGCAAACCCGCACCTATCTACGCACGTGGCAACATCAAATGACGACAATGAAGCAGCGATTCCAATGCAATCTGCAACTAGAGATTCAAGAACCCCATAGAACTACGCACACAGACACAACCACTCGTTGCAAAACACATAGGAGGAACAATTCGCGGACAAAACGACCGCAGCCGCACCCGTCGCACAGATGAGGTACCTTTCATCGTCGGCTGCAACCACTTTACACGGAAAAACACAAGGTTTGGTGCTCCGGCTTCCTCCCCAAAACATAGCCCATGCAACATTCATGCAGCCATTACAATGCGTTTCGCAGCATCCCGTAGCAAACCTACACCTATCTACGCACGTGGCAACATCAAATGACGACAATGAAGCAGCCATTCCAATGCAACCTGCAAGCAGAGATTCAAGAACCGCATAGAACTACGCACACAGACACAACGACTCGTTGCAAAACACATAGGAGGAACAATTCGCGCACAAAACGACCGCAGCCGCACCCGTCGCACAGACGAGGTACCTTTCATCGTCGGCTGCAGCCACTTTACACGGAAAAACGCAAGGTTTGGTGCTCCGGCTTCCTCCCCAAAACAGAGCCCATGCAACATTCATGCAGCCATTACAATGCGTTTCGCAACATCCCGTGGCAAACCCGCACCTATCTACGCACGTGGCAACATCAAATGACGACAATGAAGCAGCCATGCCAATGCAATCTGCAACCAGAGATTCAAGAACCGCATAGAACTACGCGCACAGACACAACGACTCGTTGCAAAACACATAGGAGGAACAATTCGCGCACAAAACGACCGCAGCCGCACCCGTCGCACAGACGAGGTACCTTTCATCGCCGGCTGCAGCCACTTTACACGAAAAACGCAAGGTTTCGTGCTCCGGCTTCCTCCCCAAAACATAGCCCATGCAACATTCATGCAGCCATTCCAATGCAATTTGCAACCAGAGATTCAAGAACCGCATAGAACTACGCACACAGACACAACGACTCGTTGCAAAACACATAGGAGGAACAATTCGCGCACAAAACGACCGCAGCCGCACCCGTCGCACAAACGAGGTACCTTTCATCGCCGGCTGCAGCCACTTTACACGGAAAAACACAAGGTTTCGTGCTCCGGCTTCCTCCCCAAAACATAGCCCATGCAACATTCATGCAGCCATTACAATGCGTTTCGCAACATCCCGTGGCAAACCCGCACCTATCTACGCACGTGGCAACATCAAATGACGACAATGAAGCAGCCATTCCAATGCAATCTGCAACCGGAGATTCAAGAACCGCATAGAACTACGCACACAGACACAACCACTCGTTGCAAAACACATAGGAGGAACAATTCGCGCACAAAACGACCGCAGCCGCACCCGTCGCACAGACGAGGTACCTTTCATCGTCGCCTGCAGCCACTTTACACGGAAAAACACAAGGTTTCGTGCTCCGGCTTCCTCCCCAAAACATAGCCCATGCAACATTCATGCAGCCATTCCAATGCGATCTGCAACCACAGCTTCAAGAACCGCATAGAACTACGCACACAGGAACAACCACTGGTTGCAAAACACATAGGAGGAACAATTCGCGACAGAAACGACCCCAGCCGCACCCGCCGCACAGACGAGGTACCTTTCATCGCCGGCTGCAGCCACTTTACACGGAAAAACACAAGGTTTCGTGCTCCGGCTTCCTCCCCCAAACATAGCCCATGCAACATTCATGCAGCCATGACTAACAATGAAGCAGCCATTCCATTCCAATCTGCAACCAGAGATTCAAGAACCGCATAGGACTACGCACACAGGAACAACCACTCGCTGCAAAACTCAAAGTCAGTTCTTTCCTGATGTATTGTTATTGAGTGTAAAGTCTCACAACCACCCTTCATCAAAGTAAGTTCTTTCCTGCTGTATTGTCAAAGTCAGTTCTTTCCTGATGTATTGTTATTGAGTGTAAAGTCTCACACCACCCTTCATCAAAGTCAGTTCTTCACTCATGTATTGTTATGTACTGTAAAGTCTCACAACCACCCTTCATCAAAGTAAGTTCTTTCCTGATGTATTGTCATGTAGTGTAAAGTCTCACACCACCCTTCATCAAGGTCAGTTCTTTTCTGATGTATTGTTATGTAGTGTAAAGTCTCACACCACCCTTCATCAAGGTCAAGTCTCACTCGCGCACCACCCTTCATCACTCTGTATTGTCATGTAATGCAAAGGCTCACACCACCCTTCATTAAGGTCAAGTCTCACTCGCGCACCACCCTTCATCACTCTGTATTGTCATGTAATGCAAAGGCTCACACCACCCTTCATCAAGGTCAAGTCTCACTCGCGCACCACCCTTCATCATAGTCAATTCCATCAAGTAAAAGTCATTCGTAACTCGGAAGTATTGCTTCCCAACTTCCTTTGATAAATAGTCTAACTGCGACTTCGGAAAGCGAATTGAAACCCATGTGCTCTTTTGACTCTTGGAAGCAAAGACTCAAAAGTTGGCGAAGGATATGAAAGGTCATGTGGCAGGCGCTTGTTGTGGTAGAACTATTCATTCTTTGGAAATATCAATGCCTGAAAAATTAGAATGGGCAATTTTGAGTTGCAACTTCACCAGCTGTGGCACCATTTAAGGCTATGCTTGGACCCCTATTGCTTGAAGCCGCTGATGGGGGACCAGCAAGGGAATCAAGAAGGTGTGGCCGAGGAATGTTCACCTGGTTGCCTACCGGTCAGCGACACAGATTGAGCTTCTTCACCACGGAAAGTTTGATAACGCAAAATCGGCGCAATGAGCTACTAAGTGCTAAATCTGTATTGGAATTCGAGAGCAAGTTGCCGCTGCCGGTAATCCTTCTAAGAAAAGATTACCCAAGAGATACACCAGAGTGGAAGGGCCCCCAAGCGGAAGCTTTTGTGCAATCTTACGATGCATTTCTGGACTTTTGGTGCGGGTAGGAAGAAGTAGAGTGTGGAATGTGGAGGGTGGTGTGTGCAAACACTCCTGCACTCCCACGTTCCTACGCTCTCCGACTCGCACATTCAACTCTTGACACTGTACACGCCAAACCCTGAGAGAAAATGCCACCCATACTAGACAGTCGATGCTCGAGACAAAATATTCCGCTTGCCACGTAAAATGAATATACGAGCCACTGAGAATCACCTCCTGCAGCCGAGCCTACCCGAAAGCTAAAGTCGCGGATTCAAAAGAGTCCCAAGCATTGTCAGCATTGTGCTTGCCACGCAGAAAAACATTCCATGTAGCAGGCAAGTGCACCAGAGACTGCACGCGAGCCGTGGAAACCATAAGAAAACCGGACCTTCGCGATGTATCGATTTGCAAGAGCAGGCAAGCGGCAAAGCACGCTTCTAAAGTATTACGCATGTCACAAGAAATTATACTGTGACATTGATTCGTTTCCTTCTTGATCGACTCTCTAGAGATACCTACGATTGGTGACCAATCTCAACGGCATATACCCTCTTCCAAAAAAAGTGGAATGATCAATGTTGCTGTGCTCAAGCTTAAAAAAACCTTACAAAGATCTACAGACTACGATGTCGTAGTTTACCGTAAAGCAACACGGGCAATTTCCCTATTCATTCATGGTTCATAATGGACTGCAGCTCCTCCCGCCAGCTCATCCTCACAATGGAAGGAGAACCAAGCTTTCTGCGCCGGGAAACCCTGCACTGGTCAGGCTCTGCCGAACTGCTCGCATTTCAAGGGTCAGTGCATCAGTTGCGCATTCCTCAGGGTTGTTCACCAAACCCAACAGCACCAGCAGCAAAACATGCAATTTCCCCAAAATTCTGCCATGTTCAAAACATCCCTGTTTAATGTACTTTGAACAACGAAATCCAGATTTGATCAGCTGACGTTCCACCATGTAAATAATAACAGCACATCAAGCAATGTATTGTAGGACATCGCAATGCGCGTCTGCATTTCTTGATGGCACCTAATTACCCACCCAGATTCCCAGGTCATCAAACGGCTTACATCATTTTGCATCTATTGAAGTTGACAAGACGAAGACCTGGATGTTGGCTAATCTCTGTTGCCTCCCCGGTGAAGCTTCATAGCTCTCTCTCGCTCTCTTGTCATGTTCGTGACGGGAGTTCAGCCAAGGAGCCTGGCAAATGCGGATCACATTCATTGGCAGAGCTGCAAAACTCATGACCTCACATCTGATGGATTCGTCAGCCAAGTGTCACAGAAATCCACGACCTTCTCAAACTGCACACTGTGAATACTTCAGCGTACTTCAGTGGAGTTCTTGGCAAAATGCTTGCTAAGACAATACATGACAATACCCGTGACTGAGTTTTGTCCATCTTTGTCCTACTTGGACAATCCCTGCGTGCCCTTCATGAATCTTCATGATCCTAAATTCTTTCATGTTAATTCTTTGTGCTTCGGGTCCTCGAGCCCATTCTGAACCCACAAAGGTTCTCACTTACTGAAACGAAGAGCCTTCTGACAACAGAGTGCATGACCTGTCTTCACAACAGGGCATCAACATGCATCAAAATGATGTATCAAGACCAGCATCTGATGGAATTCAAATACAAATCTGTCCGGAAACTGGTGGATCATGTCACAGAACAAATCCCACCTCAATGAATAGATGGGTCATGATGGCCCTACTGCATTACCTTTCCCCAGAAGATTCTGTGGCAGGCTTAATCATACAACGTTCTACGCCACCATCAGCACCTCTTGATCAACTCCTGTCGCCGAAGTCTTCGTCACATCGGCCTTGACGGCTGCAAACCTCGGAGCTGGAGGCGGGAACAAGCACCGACAAGTCTGAGAAGCATTACGTGTAGACTGTTCCAAGATTTAAACAAAAATATCAAACACATTTAAAAACATCTAAAAAATACATCATGGCGGAAACGCTGCTGCAAACGACTTGTGTCAATGCTGTCCATGTCAGCCCATGTCTGAGTAAAAGGACTTCTCCCATTCCTCATCGAACTTCAAGAACCAAGGCTCCTTTGCACACAAGGGAACATGAGGCAACATGCTGCATGTGGACAAACCAGGCAATATCACCTTGTAAAGACGAAAAGCGATACAGGTCTGTAAAAGTATCCGCAGCAGTATCGGTGGCAAGTAAGGCTACGAAAGGTGTTCTTGTAACACACAGCATGCACCGTATGCCTTTAAGAATCTATCAAAATCATGGTGTTGGCGTGTTGGGTGCTTAATTTGATCCAAGGTGCGAGTACAGGTCTAGCTGGATTCTGGCCTAAATGCTGTGGAAGGAAATTGTGAATACCTTGAAAGCCACATCGGAACAAAAAAACATCTACAGGTCTACGCCCCCTTTCTCTCACGGCATTTTCAACGGTCATCCAATCAAAATGCGGCATAGCCTACACCAATTTGGCACCCAAAAAAGCAAATAGGACCATTGTACTCTATAGTAAGGTTTGGAAGAAACTGAAAATCAAGTGTGAAATGAAGGAGAGGTGATATGTCACCGTATGTCACCCCACTGAATCTCAGTCCATGTCTCTGCCCTTGGCCAAGTTGGCTAAGCTGCACACCACCCATGGGGATGGGTTTGTGAGATGGCCTGACGTCTGGGGGCTTCAGGGGACGCGCTAAGACTCGGACGCGCAGACAAGACCAAGATTCAAATGAATCCAAACGATGTAGTCGACATGAATCAAACATGTCAAATCTAGATTTAATCTGTTTATAATCTTGTGCGACAGTCTTGGTGACCTATCTGTCTTAAAATCTTGCTTGCAGCATCTTGGTCTGTTAGTCTGTCTTAGTCTGTTAGTCTGTCTGTCTAGCGCTTCTGCGATTCCTAAGGCAAGCTGTAAGTCTGAGGCCACTCCATCCACAGGACGCGCTCCTGGCAAATCTGAAAGACATGACGATGTCGAGGATGTCACATGGTTCCACCATGTTTCACCCAAGCAGTTCAAAGATGTTCAAAGGACAAAAAAAAACATACGCCCAAGACTGCATGCGACTGCGGGAACCCGAACTAAGATCAAGGTTGAGCAAACATCATCTATAAAACTTAATCCAGATCCTTGCGTTCAACATCAGTGTGCCAGTTTGCCACATGAAGCATTGTGACATAGCACATCATAGCATATCAATGCACATATCTGAACAATTCCGAAGATCCGAGCTATGGGCCCTAAGAAATTACTGTAGGTTCTTTGATGGCTCTTCTGCTCATAAACATGGCATCCATCTTTCGAACTCTTTCGGGCTCTTTGATCCCTGGGCCAGATCTTTTGGCGCGTCACGATGCTGGACTCGTGGGTGAAACGACTCCATCGACGGCCGCCAATTTGGCCTCCGTGAGCTTTGCCATGGCGCGGATACGCTGCTGTTGAAGCTCCTCCCGGCAATGCCCAGCGGAGCATGCAACTACAACATGTATGTATATATATATATGATTATTAATGTATTTGTATTAAGTACATGTATATAGTTGTAATAGGAGGGTAAGGTAAGGAGAAAAACAAAGATAAGAAAAGAGAGACAAACAAACAAATAGATAGAGAAATCGATGACAGTACGCTTCAATGTAACATAGTACAACGCATACCTTCTCTTCTGCCCAGAAATGGTCTATTTACATCTATTTACATGATTGAAGATGGAATGTTGGCTGGATTACTGAATGAGCAATCCCTTCCCCCTAATATCCCATACCCCTGGTCGGGGCCTGCAACATGAATAAACGTAATACTAAATCAAAGTTTCGGGGAATTTAATATTGAAAGGAACAGATTGCTATGATCATCTCGGAAGGTTTTTCACTCGAGAATCCCACCAAACTGTGGCCAACGACTGTGCCATACTACCATGACATAAGCACCCAGAAACCACACATAATCATGTCACACACAAATATATATATATATGTATATGTATATGTATATTAACACATATTATTACAATATATCACATATGTAAATGACAATGGCTTTCGGCTCTGCACCTCATGCTTGCGGCGCAGTTGGTCACACAACG